CATGGAATAGCGGGTACCAGCTCCGATACCAATGCAATCAGACTCGTCTTATTCACACTTTTCATGTATGTAAACAGCAACACAGCACACTGGCGACATGCGCCAACTCAGAACTCAGAGATATGGCTTTCGGATACGAGTTCTCTTTCAAGTGGCTATGGCGACTTAGCGCCCAAACAACTCACTGTTCACACACTGGATCACCCTGGATATCACACGCACGTCACTCTGAACACTCACACATGCACACACACTCTTCCCACTTGCTACAACTATGGCAGCTATGGCTGCCTCTAACCTATCGCTATGCTAACTCCTCCTCTCTCGCCCACTGCATCCTCCGGGCTCACTGCAGACCTTCTTGCACAAGTCGTTGTGGGAGCGCTTCCGCATGGCTCACGCAGGAATGAATGAATGGCTGGCCGCTGCCTCTTGATTTATACTTCTGTAGGTCGTTGGTCTGGCCTATTTCCTTGGCCCGAAGTGCACACAGTCCCGTGCGGTACTTCCTTGACTGACTGGGGACTGAGACTGTTGACTCAGCAGGGTAGACTTTCCCCACTTGCCCACTTGCCTCACCACTTGACCACTTGCCTCTGCTTAAACGTGGGCAACTCACGAAAGGCCACTACCGGGACCTTCCGGAAGGCCGTAGACTTGGCCTTTCATGACTGTAGCAGCTACGACTCTGACCCATCTGGATTGTAGCAGCTACAACCTTGACCTTTCGAGAACACTACAGCTACGGTGTCTAGACCTGACTAAGACTCCTATCTGATAGGTCTATAGATCAAACCCATGCTACCTATGGACACTACGACAACCTATCAGCTGTTACAAATACACAAGTCACGGGTTCAACTCCACAGGCCGACATAGGTATTGTACATGGGTAAGGTTGGGGTCTAGGGATCGAACCCTGGGATCTGCAACAACTACTGCTAACTGGTGAATACCGTTTCAATCGTTCCAATTTTAACGGATGTCTCGAAAGACCAGATACTCAGTTCTACTCTAGCCTGTGTGTGATTCCAGAAAGTCGAACTGACAAACAAAATCAGGTAAGATCATTTAGGTAGGGATGAGAGAGCATTCTAAAGAAGTAGATTTCATAAACTGTGACCTGCAAAAACCCTGGTGGTTGTTGAGGCTCGATAATTGAAAAAAAAACAGATCAGGGTGGGGGGGGGCCATCAGCCATGGCTCGATGACAATCCCTCTCGGCTTTAATTTCAACATTTTGATAATGGTGCCCAAGGTTTTGAAAAGCCAGCTCCTGGCATTACATTTGTGCAATGACCTGTTGGTCGTCCTCCAGTCGGTCCACATCAATGCCCTGAGGCTGGCCAGGATCATGTTCATAGTAGCTAGATGAGAGTAGAACTTCTTCTTGAAAAGTTTCGTCGTTTCTCTGCGTCCAAATAGTGTGCATGATTACCCCTCTGCAGGCTGACAGAACATAGCACCATCCCTTCCCTACTTCCTTAGGATTGGCAATCATTCCTTCTATCACCAATAATTTCTCATTCCATTGAATCCCCACTCCCACATGTTTTGTCCATAGGTTCTCCCACCACTTCCAGACCCTGTTTGACTCAACACATTCCCACAATAGATGCATCGCTCTTTCCTTCTTCTTGCAGCACCTGCAACATTCCGCTTCTACCTCCCAATGAGACTGCAACCAGGCCAAGCTACTAAATTGTAGATCTGGGTATAGATCAAAGGGTATGGCAAAAACGCATTAAAAGTTCTCAATGCGTATTCTGCGGGGACCCGGGCCACATTATCAAATTTTGTCCCAAGTATAGGGACTGTGCTGCATCTGGGCAGCAAAAGATAGTCGTCGGTAGGGGTTGCAACTGCCCCTACCTCAGGAGTATGTGGATCTGATCGTGCCAGCGAAGTAGAGTCTCCCACTCCACATATTTCCATGGCAGAGGTTGCAGGCCAGCGTCTAGTAAGTTGTCCAGAGATCGCTTGTGTTAGGGTCTCTTTAGGCGCTTCCCTCACAGGCTTAGCCGATGAACTGAGAGAGAGGAGGCAAGCCTGGGCCAAGATGAAGAAGGATAGTAAAGGACARCTAATCCTYRCAGATGTAGAGATATTTAGAGCTAGAGTAGGAGCCCTCATAGACAGCGGGGCGACTAGGAGCTATATTAGTCGTAAAGCGCTGAGGAAGTTGAAGTTGAACCTAAAGGTCCAACGACTAGAAGAGCCTGTGGTCAGCATCCTCACAGACAATAGTAGGATGCGCGTCGAAGAGTATGTTGAGGGGGTTCACACCTACTTTCGCCTGGAGAAAGATGGCAAGGTAGAGAAGGTACTGCACTCCCTGACCCTCCTTGTAGAAGAGAGTCTCCCCTTTGACATAGTTTTAGGCACAGATTGGGGAGAGGCAGCAGGAGCCACACTTCACCTCAGAGAGCATGAGTGTACGCTCCCTAGTGCGTCAGGCGAAGTCAAGAAAGTCCGCCTGTTCCATGAGTCTGGGGTAGATAATCCCCTTGCCCATTGCTGCCTCAGCGCTCCTGCATTCGCCAGGCTTGTGCGAAAGGAGCAGCTTGAAGAGCAGGTGTTCGTGGCCTATGTTAGGCCAGTGTCCGATCAACCTAAGGAGGAAGAAAAGATCCATCCTGCTATTGCCAGTCTGCTGGAAGAATATAAGGATCTATATGAACCACCTTCAGGGGTAGTGCCCAAACCGATCCAGCACCGAATAGAAATAGAACCTGGTAGTAGAAGGCCAAAAGGGGCAGTCTACAGGATGTCTCCCAAAGAGTTGAGGAGCTACGCAGACAGTTAGATGAGCTCCTAGAAAAAGGATGGATCCGGTTTAGTTCATCGTCGTTCGGTGCACCTGTTCTGTTTGTCCCAAAGAAGGAGGGAGAGTTGCGCATGTGTATTGACTATAGGGGACTAAACGCCATCACGATTAAGAATGCAGAGCCATTACCGCGTATAGATGATTTGCTAGATCGACTTCAGGGGTGCAGATATTTATCGAAGATAGATCTAAAATCAGGGTACCATCAGACAGAGGTCCACCCTGACGATCAGTATAAGACGGCGTTCAGGACAAGGTATGGGGATTACGAGTTCATAGTGATGTCATTTGGACTTACTAATGCACCCGCAACATTTCAGCGCTGTATGAACGACTTGTTTAGACCTTGGCTAGATAGGTTCGTTGTAGTTTACCTAGACGATATCCTAGTGTTCAGCAAGACCCTCGAGGAACATGAGGGCCATCTATGGCAGATTCTAAGTAAGCTCAGAGAGTCTAACTTTAAGATTAACCCGAAGAAGTGCGAATAGGCCAAGACACAGGTCCTTTACCTAGGCCATGTACTAGACGGCGATGGCATTCGGCCTGAGGACACCAAGATAGCATCCATCAGAGATTGGCCAACTCCTAAGACACTAACAGAGTTGCATTATTTCTTAGGACTGGCTAACTACTACAGGAAGTTCGTGAGGAACTTCTCTACGATCGCTGCTCCCCTTCATAGACTATTGAAAAAAGAAGCTA